AAGTATCATCAAACAAAAAAACATGGTCATGCAGGAGAAAGAAATAGAGCAATCAACTTAGAAGTTGCTAAGCTCGTATACGCAAAGATATTACGGGAAGCTTTCTTTCCCGTATGTATAGATTACTCCGATTTAAACAAAGCTTGCCCTAAAGATTCATACATGTTGCCAGAGATAGACCAGAAAGTCGAATCGTTACAAGGCTTCAAATGGAAATGTTTCCTTGACGCGTATAAGGGCTACCATGAAGTACTAATGAATAAAGAAGATGAAGAAAAGACAACATTCTACACCGACAATGGAAAATTCGTTTATACATAAATGCCTTTCGTTCTCAAGAATGCAGGGGAAACCTATCAACGACTTGTAGATAAGGGCTTCAGAGATCAAATTGATAGAAACATAGAAGTGTATGTTGATGCCATGGTGATCAAAAGCCACAACGATAGCGCGCTACTCAAAGACATAGAAGAAACACTCAAAACCCTTGAGAAAGTGCGCATGAAGTTAAAACCTACAAAATGCACGTTTGGTGTGCAAGAAGAAAAATTCCTAGGATACTACGTAACAAAAGAAGGAATCCAACCAAGTCCGGAAAAGTTCGTTGAGTTACTAGACACGACTAAGCTGAGAAGCTTAAAAGAAATGCAGGCTTTTAACCGAAAGATTACAGCCTTGGGACGCTTCATCGCCCGCTCAGCCGACAAGGTAATGTCGTTATTCCAAACGTTGAAGGGATGTATTAACAAACGTAATTTTCGGTGTACACCAAAGGCCAAGCGTGCTCTCCAAGATTTAAAGAAAGCCCTTAGAAAAATACCAACCTTGGCAAGCCCTACTCCAGGAGAAACATTGTCGATCTACCTATCCGCTACGGAAGAATCCATCTCGGCTGTATTGATGGTAGAAAGACAAGAAAAACAGTGGCCCGTATATGTCATTAGTAGGGCGCTACAAGGAGCAGAATTAAATTACCCCATGGTTGAGAAGCCAGTGTTAGCATTAGTATATGCAGCCAGGCGGCTGCGTTGTTATTTCCAAGCTCATCCAGTGGAAGTTTTGACAACCCAGCCTCTAAAGAGCATTCTATTAACGCCATAGAAGTCCAGAAGATTAATAAAATGGGTCATCAAGCAAGGGGAACACGACATAGAATACCATCCCAGAACAAGTATCAAAGGACAAGCCATATCATATTTCTTAACAGATGTGCCAGACAAAGAGTATCGAACGATTGTAACTCGACCAGAAGAAAAGGATGGGACATGGGCTGGTAACCAGACTTGGGTGTTGTATACCGATGGAGCAGCTAGTAAGGAGGGGTCTGGTGCAGGTCTTATATCTACCAACCCTGAGGGAAACAAGGTCACATATGCATTACGCTTTGATTTTGACACTACCAACAACAAAGCAAAATACAAAGCCTTACTCTCAGGATTAAGGTTGGCCCACAAAATGGGAGTGAAAACTTTGAAGGTTATGACTGATTCCATGTTGGTCACAAATCAGATAAATGGGGTATATGATACAAAGAATGCAAGAATGAGGAAATATGCAACGTCAATAAGCGACGTTGCAACTTCATTCGAGGGCTTACCGATAGAACAAATAAAAATAAGTGAGAATAGAAGGGCGGACACATTGAGCAAGTTGGCGGCCACAACGTATATCCATTTGTCGAAGAAAGTACTGGTGGAAATACTCAGCAACTGCATCATAGGCGAGATTGGTGTAGGCACCATCACAACCAAGGAAAAAGGATGGATGGCTCCGATATATGCTTACTTGCAGCATGGTCTGTTACATGACAACTCGAACGAAGCACACAAAGTAAAAATAAAAGCACCTCATTTTATCATCAAAAGCGACCAACTATATAAAAGAGGATACTTTAGGCCATGGTTAAAATGCATAACGATAGCGAAGGGGATATGCGTTATCAACGAAGCACATAAAGGCGACACAGGGGCACATGAAGGTGCGCGAGCCTTAACTAGAAATGTGTTATGCATGGTTCTCTACTGGCTAACACTGCATAAAGAAGCGGAAGAAATCACACGAAAATGTGTAGTCTGCCAAACTTTATCACCAGTACAATGGTTACCATCCACGCCTCTCACTAGCATCTTTAGTCCCTAGCCATTCCACCAGTGGGCAGTCGATATTGTAGGGCCATTCCCAAAAGCTCCAGGAAGAGTAAAGTTCTTAGTAGTGGCAATTGATTATTTCACAAAATGGCTAGAAGAAGAACCATTAACAAGTATTACAAGGATATCTATGATCAAGTTCATGTGGAAGAACATTTGCACTCGTTTTGGCACGCCAAAAACTCTTATCAGTGACAACGGGCTACAGTTTTCCGAGAACGCATTTAGGGGGTGGTGTCTGGAAAGACACATTGAGCAGCATTTCATGTCAGTAGCTCTTGTTGGATTAATGTCTAAGTCCATAACTATAATTGGTAAGACTTGACCCGACCCGGCATGGTCCATTTGGGTTGCATGGCATCATGCATTTGGATAGACTACAATGAGAGAAATAACACTTAAGGTTGGTTAATATATTATAAGTTCTATTATATTAATAAGGTTATTTAATTAGTATTGATCAAGAATTAATTTGGAATTAATTAAGTGATCAAAAGGAGACTAATTAAATATATGGGTTGATTGTGTAAATCATTCATTCTTATATATGTGGGCTTGTGATCTAAGATTCCTTATGTTGGACTAAGTCCATGGGGTGACCCATGGATACTCCATGGAGGTTAAAATCCATGGAGCATAAGGAATGGGTAAAGTTATGAGTTACATGGTGTAACCCTAATAGCCACCATATAAAAGAATCCCATGGCTCAAGAAATCGTGCACTAATGTGTGAGTGTGAGGGCTAGACGATTTCAAGGAGTGTTCAAGTTTCTCTCAAGTTATTCCAAGTGTATTTGGTGTTGTGTGAACCATTTGAGGTGTCACACTTGGGGCACTAGGCACTCAAGCTTCATGAAGACATTCTACATCAAAGAGGTATGTATTCTATCTTGTTATATTTATTATTTTGTATGCTAGATTAGGATAATACCTTGGATGTTCATAATTGTATGTATAATAGAGAAAACATAGATCCAAGGTATTTAGGGTTGCATGTACACTTAGGAGTGTTAGAATGCTCATAACCCAACAGCTCTTCCATAGGAAAAAGGAAAACAGAGGTGTCCAACAAAACATGGTAAACGGAATCAAGAAACGACTAAGAAAAGCCAAAGGAAATTGGGTGGAGGAGCTGCCCAACGTATTGTGGTCCTACCGAACGACCCCGAAAACCAGCACAAAGGAAAATCCTTTTAGTCTCACGTTCGGAATAGAGACAGTTCTACCACCGGAATTAATCATGGGATCGATGTGCACAACAAGATTTAGCAAAGAGGCATAAAACAAGAATTTCCAACACAAACTTTATTTACTCGATGAAAAAAGAGAAAGAGCTCAGTTGCGTTAAGCAATATACTAATCCTAAACTGAAAATTACTACAACAAACGAATGCAAGGACAAGATGTGAAGGTTCGAGATTTAGTCCTAAGGGCAAATGAGGTCACCCACAACGATCTTAGGGGGAAATTGGACCCAACCTGGGAAGGGCCATACGTAGTGGTCACAACACATCGCAACGACTCTTATGAGCTGGAGATATGGAAGGACGCACAATTCCCTACAGTTGGCACATTCAACTCCTTAAGAAGTTTTTCATATAAAAAAGAGAGATGGGAAAAGAAGGAAGGAGAATATATAAGACGAAAAGCTGGAAGTGCTTCTTTTTCCTTGTAATAAATTTTTTTAAAAATGCCATTTATGACAAACGAACTCAGGACTGATCACCTTGGGTCCATATCTTTGTGTTTATTTTGCAGTGTATTTGTATCACTATCATTCTAGCTTAAAGGATTATAACCTTTGCCAAAGAGAGTTGCATGGTGTCATTACCTAACTCTGTAGGATAACAACCAGTTTAGTCTTGTCTTGTTCTGGATCAACGGACTATAACCATTGCCAACGAGAGTTGTATGGTGTCATTACTCGACTTTGCAGGATAACAGGCAGTTTAGTTCTGTCTCGTTCTGGCTCAAAGGATTATACCATTTGCCAAAGAGAGTCGTATGATGTCATTACCCGACTCTGCAGGATAATAGGAAGTCTAGTCCTGTCTTGTTCTAGCTCAAAGGTTTATAACCTTTGCCGACGAGAGTTGTATAGTATCATTACCCAAATCTGCAGGATAACATGCAGTTTTGTCCTGTCTCATTATGGATCAAAGGATTATAACCTTTGCCAAAGAGAGTTGTATGGTGTCATTACCCAACTCTGCAGGATAATAGGCAGTCTAGTCCTATCTTATCCTCGCTCAAAGGATTATAACCATTGCCAACAAGAGTTGTATAGTATGATTATCCAACTCTGTACGATAGCAGGAAACCTAGTCCTATGTCGTTCCAGCTCAGAGGATTATAACCTTTGCCAAAAAGAGTTGCAAGATTTCTTTAGCCAACTCTACACGACAATGGGAGGTTTAGCATCGTCTTAGCATAAAGGATCATAACCTTTACTTAAAATACTCATGTACAGACTTCCAAATAAATAAAAGACTCAGAAAAAATGAAGCTAGAAAGGTTAATACGCTAAACCAAAGCACGCTCATAAGCATATAGAAGAAAGAAGTTTTGTCCAAGTACAAGCCAAAACCTTACATATTAAGACCACACAAGGCCACCAAAAGAAAGCAAAGTAAAGTTTATCTTCACACCCATTTAGGGTAGCACAACAGGAACAATTTCCCAAAAATAAAAGTTTCTTATCACTTACCCATGCCTCAATCCAGGCCAGTAATTTTTGCAGTGCCACTGAGACCCACTCCTCCACTATCATCATCCGCACAGAGTTGACGAAGGCCATTAATGTCCAGAGAGCCTAACTTTATGAGGGTGGCGTAATCATATATGACGAATGAGTCAATGACATCCACCATCTCTCCAAATATGGCTGGAAGTTGAGCTAGCAGTAAGCGCATCAAACATCCCAACAACAACTTCCTTGCGCAATGCCTCCCTCCCAGATTCTTCACCAGCAGCAAAGCATATATGTTTGATCTGACCAAAAATTTGCAGAAATTCGGGAAACTCAATAACCTTGTCCACGATCCTAACAACACCCTCCTTGACAAGGCAATCCTCGTCGCTTCCAACCTGAGACACTTCCACTTTGCGGTCAAGCAACAACTTCTCTTTATCCAACAACTCTTTTTCCAGGCTTTCCACTCGGATACTCAAGGCTTTGTTCTTCTGAAGGGTATCATCGAGTTTCGCCTCTACATTACTGCACCGTTGCTCAAGGGCCATCTTCTCACAATCCATTAACTCCAACTACTGATGATAAGACTCAACCTTAGCCTCCAACGAGGCCACATGCTACTGCGTATTCCTTTCATTAGAACGAAGTTTGACTATCACACTCTTAAGGCGTCTGATGCACCAAGATCTAACAGTAGGAAGAAGGCGCTCTGGGCAGAAGAAAACTCCATAAAGTCAACCGTCTGTTCATCCGTAACAGCCTCCATCTCAGCAACAGTCTCCTTAGGGAAGGCGTGGTGAGAAAATTCCATAGCGACTTCTCGGCTGGAAATGCGGGATTCATCAGTAATATTCCATTTGGGTGCAAAGATGTTGTTGGAATAAGGATTTTTTTTCCTTGAAGACCGACAATAAGATCATCATAGTCAGACATCTCCGAAGCAACATGCGATTTTGTTTGATTTGACAATGGAAGTTGCGCCAGAATAGTACCGGAGGGATCCTTATGAACAGTGGGTTGCTTAAAAGCCCCTTTCACCCCTTCATACTAGTGAACGTCGTGATCAAGGATGCTTATAACTTCTTCGCTGGAGGGCATCAATGTGGCAACAAAATTAGTCGCAAGCTTCCTCCGGCAAGAGCGGTCTGCAATGGATTTTCCTTTCACAGCACCGATAGGACATTCAATGCTCAACAACCCTCTTTTCCTTAACCTACGAGACACATCACTGGTCAATATTCCCTCTTTGTTGTCTTCCACACGTTTTTGAGCCTTCATGATTTTCAGAAGGGGGAGCATCGAGAGCAGGAATGCTAGAAGGATTATCAGATAAGGGCGTGTCCCTGATAGCAACCAAATGTGAAGGAGGATAAATAGTGGGAGTGGGAGTGACTCGATCCAACATCCGGTTGGGAATAGGAAGGGCGTCGTACATAGCAACACGACGGAACTACAAATCCCCCTTGAATTTCTTCCCAAGCACATCAGAGAAAGATAGCACTCGTTCCTCCCTTATAGTATAAACTCCATCGTATTTTTTCAAAAAGAAAAAAAACCAGGGAGGGGAAAGAGATAGGTGTAAAATAAGAAACATAAATCTTACCCCCATTAACAACAAATAACTCGGGCATCTCCTGGAGGCGACGCCATTTAGTGCTCATCCCAGCACCAGCAAGGATATACTCAGGCAACTCTTATAGAACGACAGTGAAGCTATTTAAAACACGAACAATTTTTTGATCGTGAGGAAGAAGTTTGGGGGTGCTATCGCAAGTCTCTTTAGTATGAAAGTAGGGACCGCCAAATCGAGAGTCGTTCACCCAAAACCAGTTAATCTGCCAGTTTTTCAGACTGCTTTTTCCATCAAGAACAAGGAGATGGGTGTTCTTGCAAGAATATAAGGTGAACTTGTCACCGATAGTAGAGAACCGAAAGAAATTCTTGAACCCATATACTGGGAAGAAAACCTTGAGACCAATAAAACATCTCAAAGTCCAAGATCTTGGTCACATCGTTAGGAGTAAGCTCATATATGTTGGCTCCATTTTTATGCATCACATCGTCCAAGAAGTTGGTGGTGGGAAGCCGGTAACCGACATCAAAGGTCTTGACAAAAATGTTGACTTTCCCCAGAGGTGGGTCTACAAATGAAGCCCCATCCAAAGGAATTAGTACTCCATCCTCCGGATGAAAGTCATATTTTTTGTGAAGAACTTCAACGTATTTTGGAGTTGGCACCACACCAGAAGCAGAAATCATGTTAATAAGGAGGGCAATCTTGAGAAAATACAGAACAAAGAATAAGGAGGAATATTAACTACATAGAAACAGATGAAAGATGAAAAAGACCAAGTATTTATGGAGAATATCAAGAGGTAATCAAGGGCTCTGGAAAAGAGGACATATCGGCAGAAGTTATAACTACTCGACGGTTAATAAGACGAGACATGTGACTTGGAGTCCATAACATAATGGTTGACTACGCTACACCATCATTACTAGACTCGGGGGCTTGATGATGTACCCCATGCCGGTTCGTCTTGACACGACTAGCAAGGCAACAGCTAGTCCAACGAGACAGCTGCTGGTCCGATGAGACAATAGAAAAGAATATTTAAACGGATCAGCCTAACTGGCTGTATGGGTCGGGTAAAGGACTTACCAGGATGGGATCCTTACTACACAGACAGCAAGACTGCACAGTCTTGGCAACAAGCCATGGCTGTCTAGACATGAATTTCTTGTTCCCCACACATAACTTTCGACTACCGTACAGAGGGAGATGTCAGCATAACCATGCACGATTCATTCACAATTGTTCCCTCTGCACCAATCAAAAAAGGAGAAGAGTAAGATAAGGAAAGATGGACCAATCAGAGCTCGGTACTCCAGATACCGTTACAATGGTCCCCTCCATCTATACGAAACCCTAACTATAAAGGAGAATGAACGTCTTCATTACAAGCACACTATTGAGACCCTTATCTCCAGATACACATACTCTCTTCTCCACGAACTTGTTGGATTAGGTGTCTAAGCCCATAACTATAATTGGTATATACTTGACCCAATAGTAGCATGGTCCTTTTGGGTTGCCTTCACTGGATCTTTTTGATAGGATGGATATTTGAGAAAGAGGTTATTTGTGATTTATTAATATATTATATGAATAATATATTAATTGAGAAATCATATTATTTAATTGGTATTGATCAGGAATTAATTTGGAATTAATTTAGTGATCAAAAGAGACTGATTAAATTTACGAGGACTGATTAGGTAAATCATTAATACTTATAGTTTGGGCTAATGATCCATGTTGATTAGGGATGGACTAAACCTATATGAGAGTCCATGAAGGTTTAGTGCAAAGGGCCTATCAAATGTGAAGGGTCATGGTGAATTAGGGTTTACATGTAAGAAACCCTAGGAATTCCACACTATAAAAGTAACCCCTAACATCCCTAAAATCGGCATAAGAATTCCAAGATGAAACCCTAGCCGATTTGTGCTTCCTAACCTCTCTCTCATAAGCCTCCTTTTGCTTTTGGTGTTTGTAACTTATTAGAGGTATCACACTTGAGGTACTAAGCTCTTGAAAGGCCAAGAACTACAAGCTATAACAAAGAGGTATTCATCTAACTAGTTTTTATGTTGTATATCTCCAATTGCATGCTAGCTAGGGTATATGCTTTGGATAAAATTGAAATTGCATGTATAACTTTAGAAAGCTTAGATCCAAATCATCTAGGGTTGTATGTGCACCATAGAATTGTTATAGTGCTCAAAACCCTTCAGTGGTATCAGAGCTTAGGGTGTTTTCTGTTATATTGATGCAATTGTATTGCTTTCAAAGCTGGAAAAACTTCAAATTTTCCTCTGACTGCTGGACTCAACGATTCCCATGAGGGAACTCGATGAGTTGGTCCAAGTCGACAAGTCCATGCCATGAACTCGACGAGTTGGATCATCTGTTTGCAGTTTTTCGAGTTTTTTGGCCAGTTTTGGATTAGGATCATTACCATAAATTGTTTTGACTGTTAAAATTCGAATTTTCTTATAAGGTAATGATTATCCTCATCCAACTGAATGATGATTGTCAAATTTTAAGATAATTACTTGATTTTGTGAAAAACTAATTATTTGTAGAATTTGATTTGAATCATCTTGCTATATGAAATTAGATTAGGTCAATTTTGTGATATAGTTAACTATATGATTAATTTAATTGTTTTCAGATTGATCCCAAGAGTTTTGAAAAGTTTTAAAATTTGCCCTCAAGTTTTGGAATTTAAAAATTGATTAAAAGGTTTTAATTTTTTTGAAATATTTAAATTCTAAACCCTAGAGTTTTAAAAGTTTAAAATTCAACCCTTATACTATTATAATATTAAAAGCTTAATACTTATATATATGTATAAGACAGTCAGTATTACCATTAGTAGACCTCATTCATGAAGCTGGTCTATAATGAGGGTATAGGGAAATTGCCTATAAAATGACAATTGAATGGGTGTCCACTCTGACCCACCGCTCCCTTGACTAGTGGAGGGTCGTTAGCCGAACGGGTAGGATAGACCATTAATTCTCATGAAAAAATGTAATGATAATTATAAAAGTAACTAAATGTTTTCATAAATTCTTAATCTTAGTTACTTTAGGAAAAATTTGAAAATGGTGCTATTCCATGAAATTGCACTTTGCACCTTGCCAAGTCGTTAGTGGAGCGTGTGTGGTTTACCGACACACTAATTTGGACTAACAAGGGTGGCAAAGGGTAGCTCGAGAATTGTCATAGATTAATGGAGCGTGTGTGGTTACCCAACACATTGATTAGGTGGTAAATGACTCGAGAGTGCCAAACAATTTGCATGGTTATTCACACCTTGTTTGTGATCCTCAGTATCCCAGACACAAACTTGAAGGGCATAATAGAGATTTGAACATGCCATTGAAAAGTTCAATGAATCTCAAAGATCTAGGAATTTCATAAAACTTAATTCTTTAAAATCTTAGTTTTGGGTGGTGAAATTGGTAAATCGTCATTTACCTACCTTCAAATATTTTTGCAATTGGATTACGACATCCCTCTTCCGAATTGTGAAATATTGTTTGGGTCCTATCCTTAATATTTCATTTGGGTGTTATATTAAGGAATTTCTATCTAATGAAACTTATATTTCTTTTCAGATGTCTACTTCAAACAACGCTTCAAACTTAAATGCTTCTGGCTCTTTCTCTCTCATGAACTTATGTGGAAGGGTCATTTTCGATGGGTCGAATTTCAATGACTGGATTCGAAACATTCGCGTGGCCATTCGCTACGAGGAAAAGGAACATGTCCTCGACAAAGAGCTAAAGGAGATTGATGAAGAAACTGCCACTCCTGAACAACTGGCTGAGTATAGGGCTCATGAGAAGGACGCGACAAAGGTGTCGTGCATCATGCTAGACACTATGCCTTATGAGCTTCAGAAGTCCTACGAGGACTTTTGGCCTTTCGAGATGCACCAAGATTTGATGGAAAGGTACCATCAGAGAGATCAAA